AACATCAAGTAAACTGAAATGTATGAATGAGGAGGTTTTGGCAGTTGTAACGAGACAACAAAAGAAAAAGATGGAGCAGAATAGTACGGTAGAACAGACTGCGCTTAATAAATACCCTGATGAGTGGCCTGATCAACCACGCGTCGTGGAACTATTAAGACAGCCATGCGATTCCGTAGAATTGAGGTTGACTGACAGGGAAGTAATAGGAAAATGTAAGAAAGGAAATAATAAAGTGATAAAAGAAGAATGTTTTATGTCTGTACCAAATAAAATGTTACTGTGTGTTAATTTAGGTTTTAAGTTGAATTTCTCGCGAGCCGAATTTGCAATTAAACTTAAAGAGTTTTGCAAAAAAATAAAAGTAAAAGAATTATGCATAGTAAAAGATGGAAAGAATACTGAGTTTATAAAAGGAACATGTAGTGAAGTTAAATCGTTGAGTGAATGATTGAATGAATTCGGACCCCGAATATGTGTACTGAAAGGAATAGAGAGAATTTATGATGAAAACGAGAAACAATTTATTTTAAATGACTATCATTTATTACCCACTAGTGGACATGCTGGAATAACTAGAATGACGAATAGTATTAGGAGAAAATACTATTGGCCAGGACTAGATTCGGATATCCGTAAATATATAAGTAAATGTGCATTATGTCAGAAAATGAAACGAGGTAAATATACCAAACAACCTATGACTTTAACCTCCACTGCATCGACTACGTTCGAGAAAGTTTTCCTCGATTTAGTTGGACCATTGGATAAGGATGAGATTGGAAATTGTTATATTTTAACTCTCCAATGCGAGTTAACAAAATATATAGAGGCGTATCCATTACCTATTAAAGAAGCTGTTACAGTTGCAGAAGATTTTTTAAGTAACTTTATTTTAAGATTCGATATTCCGAAATGTATAGCTACAGATAGGGGGACAGAATTCATGTCTCGGGTTATGGAACAGGTATGTAAATTATTAGAAATCGATAAATTATCGTCAACTGCATACCACCATCAATCAATCGGTTCTCTTGAGATAGCTCATAAACATTTAGGTGCGTTTCTAAAAACTTATTGTACTAATTCGAATGTTTCATGGTCCCATTGGGTTCCATTTTGGTGTTTTAGTTATAATAATTGTGTGAACACTCAAACTAAGTACACTCCTTTTGAACTTGTTTTTGGTAGACAATGTCGTTTGCCAAATAATTTGAATTATGATGTTGAACCACTTTATAATCCTGATAATTATTGTTTAGATTTAAAATATAAATTGCAAGTAGCCTTAAGAGATGCTAGAAATAATTTGATAACTTGTAAGGAAAAAAGGAAAGATAAATATGATGAATCATGTAATCCTGTATTTTATAATAAGAATAATGTTGTTTTACTTAAAAATGAATGTGCTCGTAAATTAGATTGTGTTTTTGATGGACGTTATAAAGTTGTAGAAGATTTAGGAGTAAATGTGAAAATTGATATAAATGGTAAAATTGACATTGTTCATAAGAATAGGACTAAGCAATTTAGTAGTTACGAATATTCTTTTTTTTTATTTTTTTTTCCTTTGCCCCCAAAGGTGAAGTAACCTATGTACTTGTAGGTGATATTCGATGTATTAGAAAGTAAGCCAGTATTAAATAAACACTCGAATTGAACAAACGTGTTGCTCTTTCATTCAGAAAAACAAACCCTCTCAGCATTATGAAGATGAACATAGGGAGACCTATGTTCATAGATTGCGTCATAGTGGTATATTTGCCATTGTTGCCACGCTTGGCAAACCAGACTGCAGCCGCAGTTTCTACTTTTAGTCCTTATTAGGAAGGCGCTTCTGCCCATCTCCTGGTTTGTATCCCTCTGTCGCCTCTTATGACACCCACGGGATGCTATGATATATTGGATATTCTTACACCGCCACTACACGGGTAAAACATTGTACAACTTAAATCTTTGATTTGATTGATGTTCTACATATACATCACAATGTTTTTAACATTAATAAATTTTAAGATATACATAACAAAGTTTACTTTGCTATATGAGTTATTCCGCCTAATAGTAGTTATGAAAATAATGTAATAAGTAATTCTTAAGCATAAAATAATCATTACGTTTTAGGGATGACAACAACATCCCTTTTATGTTTAACTTGTGTGAAGCTAAATTAAACCGACAAAACTTCGAATTTGATATCCATGACAGATATATGATGATATGATCCAATGCGCTCCAATCTCGCGCGGCAGGAGCGCGCTCCACAGGCGCGGTTCGTGTGGACGTGCCTCGCGTGATCCAAGCTGCAAACTTGGAGCATGCGCTCGTTGCCGCGAGTGATCCATTCGTTGTCGGTTTTGCGATCGTGCTCAAAGGGGCCTCAGTCACTTGGCGTGTACGGTACTGACGTTTGTAAGTGGATCGCGCGATATGAAAAGGACATTGGTCAGTGCCCATATATTGTTCGCCCTGGAATCAAAAGCATCGGAAAATTGTGTGTTGTATTGTCGATCATTAGGGAATTCTTATATGATCTTATTTTTGTAGCGGACTAGCTGCAGAAAAGATATATTTCGTATCAGATTTTGAGGTTATAATAGAACTAACACTATTATGGTTTTTATCATTTGGTGTGATTTTTAAGAAACTGAAAAACAATATCGTGTTACATTTAATAATTTTAGTAACATCTTTCAACAACATAAAACCACTAGCAGAGCCGCAATTTACACAAAATACACTTTTATTGCATACGCGTAACAAAGAGAATATAAACTCCCTTAGTAAAACTAAATGTATGAAAAGGCGCCAAACTACTCTACCAACATCGAGACATGAAATTAATTTTTAGAACAACTGTGCTGACAACATAGGCGAATTATACTAGTTCCTTAATATCTATCCTCGAATAATTTTATCGATACAATCTTAATTGATTTATTGTTTATCGTAATTTTTATATTAAAAGTATTAACTATCATAAACTCGTAAGTGATCGTTTAGATAGAAGTAAGCCACACGCTTTTCTAAACCATCATTAGAAAACCTGATCATGATAAAATAATTAGATTTTGTTCACTTCAGCATTACTCTAACTACCTATTTATTTTCGAGTTTGACCTCATTCATTAGGTATATTTTTAAATTATACTTTTAGGGAATAACAAAAAGAAATGGTGGTTGATAGTTTTTATTATAGTTTCTATTTGCACTTTATTCGAAATAAATTCAAAATGTGATTCAGATTAAAAAATATGCAACTGTTCATTAAAAATTCAAAAGATCGATTATAATCGATTGGGCGTCCCTAGTAATTTTTATACACCACATGACGTTTGGCGAAGATGGCGGCGATTAATGCTATAAGTGAAATAGAATACTTTTTTTATTGTTAATTTTGTCATGCAGCTAGTCCATGTTATAAAAATATTTGCAACAAATATAATTTTATGCAATTATATTAGTTAGTAGTTATTAGTTTAATTCAAATTTTCGTATTTTTATACTAAAAAAAGGGCTCGAAATAATAGATTTTCTCACAAAAGAAGGGAACTTAAAAAAAACGAAAAAAATTGGGATCGAAGAGAGGACGCGAACCAAGGCATTACTATTTCGCGACCGCTCGCTATCCAATTGAGCTATTACGATCGCGTCAAAATTTACCTTCTTATACAGGGTGTCCAGTAAATAGCACCACATACTGCAGGGGGTGATAGCTAGGGTCACTACCTATCAATACAACACAATATATGTTCAGCAAAATCTTGCGGATTTACAGTTTTACAAAATTTTCCGAAATACCGAAAAATCTCTACCTTGAAACAGATTTTTAAGCATCTCGTAATTAAAAAATCCTTTTCTAGTACTCTTTTTACATCAAATTATTCGTGAATAGTTACTTTACTCATTGATTAGTCTTTTTTCTATCAAAGACAAGAATGTTTTCAAGAAATACTGTTTTTTTGTTTAAATTTGCACAGAACTATTTTCTTATCACTTAAGTTTAACCTACAGTGATGAAAATATTTTTTTTTTTTTTTTTTTAATATATGTGGCAGTTTTGTACAACAAACTTAAAAAATAGCTTGTTTAATGGTGATTTAGGAAAGATACATTACTAGTGCATTTTCATTAAAAAAATACAAAAACATAAGCTATTTTAGTTAATAAGAGCATTTTATTTTAAATGCAGGTAATGTGACTTTGAATTCGAATCGTTGTAAGGTCGTACTACGGTTCGAATTACATAATAATTAATCTACAGCCGACCGTCCGGCCGATCTGTAAATGACATCTTGAAGGATAAGGTGATAGTAAAAAAAGAGAGGAGTTAACTTTAATAAACATTTATTTAAATAAATTACAATAAATGCTCAAATTGCTTCCCTTGTGCCCTAATACACGCTCGGCATCTTCTTAAAAATGAGCTTTTGAGTCTTCTCAGGCTTATTTCCGATATTTTTCTTGCTGCAATGTTAACCCTTGCTCTCAATTCATTGTCATTTTGGATCGGTTTTTCATAGACTTTGTCCTTCATGGCACCCCAATAAAAAATCCAGGGGGTTTAGGTCCGGAGACCTAGGTGGCCATAATATCGGTCCCAGTCGCCCAATCCACCTGCCTGGATAAGCTTCATCTAAGTAGGCTCTTACTTCCCGGCCATAATGAGCAGGGCACCCATCATTTTGAAGCCACATCACCTCTCTTAGCTCACTCGGAACATTTTCAAGGAGCGTGGGTAGAGTTTCTCGTAAAAGCTCCAAGTAATTATTGGCATTTATTGTAGGTGGAAGCTCGACGGGACCCACAATCTGGCCATTAAAAATTCCACACCATAAATTTATTTTGAATTGGTACTGGGACCTGTCTTCTCTTGACACATACGGATTTTGTAATTGCCAATTATGTAAATTATGCAAATTCAAGTAGCCATCCTTTCTGCAGGCTGACTCATCACTCCATAACACCTTATTAAAAAAGTTTGGGTCCTCCCGATGCATTTAGAGCATGCGGCGGCAGAATTGAACTCTCGGCAGGTAGTCTCTAGTTAAAAGAGTTTGCACGCGTCGTACGTGAAATGGATGGTATCCATACCTCTTAAGTACTGAATGAACAGTGGACTTCGGTATCCCTGTGCGCCCTTGTATCGCCCTAACCGAAGTTGTCGGGTCTTGTTCTCGTTCCTGAAGCACTATATCTTCGTCAACAACTTGAGGCCGTCCACCGCCACGTTGACCAGGGAGTCTGCCTTCCATGTAGGAGTTATGCACTCTGGTAAACATTTCATGGTGTGGATGTCTCCTATCGGGAAACCTTTCCCTGTAGAGGGTGGCAGCAGCTCGGGAACTTTGGCCAGCTTCTCCGTAAATAAGGTGCATCTCAGCATACTCTCGCTGCGTATAACCAGGAAAAATGCGGCGGTTGGCCATGTTATAAAACACAAAAGTCCAGGTGGTCGCCAAGTCGTCGTAGTGATCACAATAAAAAATCCAAATCGTAAGGCAAACAAAGTCCGGGGTCCAAGGCACAAAACAGTCGTCATACGAAACAATAATTTGTGAACACAGAGATGCGTTGCGCACGGTTTAAGGTAGCGTACTGACAAGTGTCGCAAATAAGGTTGAGAGTGAGACACAAAATCACAATGCAAGAAAGAGCGGGATAGCACATGCGCTTCTTTTGTTAGACAGTAACCGGTCGGGTCGGGTCGGTCGGCGAGCAGGTAAAAACCTTTAGTCATTACGCGTGCATGTCGCATTTTACGTGTCACAACTAGTTTTATAATAATTCGCGTAAATGAGCAGCTATTACTTATTCTCATAGTGGTTTATGTCAAAATTACATTAATTACATTTTCAACAAAATCAGCTTCTCTGGAACTAAAATAGCATTTTTTTGTATTTTTTAATGAAAATGCACTAGTATTGTATTTTTCCTAAATCACCATTAAACAAGCAATTTTTTCAGTTTATTGTACAAAACTGCCACATACATTTTTTTTTTCACCACTGTAGGTTAAACTTAAGTGATAAGAAAATAGTTCTGTGCAAATTTAAACAAAAAATAGTATTTCTTGAAAACATTCTTGTCTTTGATAGAAAAAAGATTTATCAATGAGTAAAGTAACTATTCACGAATAATTTGATGTAAAAAAAGTACTAGAAAAGGATTTTTTCATTACGAGATGCTTAAAAATCTGTGTCAAGAAAGAGATTTTTCGGTATTTCGGAAAATTTTGTAAAACTGTAAATCCGTAAGATTTTGCTGAACATATATTGTGTTGTATTGATAGGTAGTGACCCTAGCTATCACCCCCTGCAGTATGTCGTGCTATTTACTGGACAACCTGTATAGTAGCAGTTTTTCATTGCCTGAAAACACGGACAAAAAATCATTTTCTAAAAATAAATCCTAGTTAGATCGATATATATGTATAAATTTGCTCGTTTAAAGGTATAGGATAAATAGTATAAAGGAGTACAAACGCTTATGTGGACCCTAATAGCACCAATTGCACAAATAAAGGTGTGAGAAACGACATTTTGTGACACATCCGTCGTGAAATGGATTACATATGTAGTTGAGGCATTAAAGAAAAAAATTGATCTTAGTCGGGAGGCTAGCTTTTTTCGTGATTTTTGTTGTATGTCGTACATTTTAGAAGAATATGTGCCACTGCAATTTATCGCCATTGCTGCATGTAAGTAGTAAGAGTTATGAGATTTTATGGCGCCGTTGAATTTTTGAAAATATTTTTGAAAATATCATATCTTTTGATAGAATTAAAGGATTTTGGGAAGGATTTTAGGAGAAAGATGGAAAAACTGCTCATTCTACTTTTAAACTTTCGCTATTCGTAACTCTTGAGCAACAATCTACATGTTCTATCCGCAAAAATGGGCCACTTGGTAAATTACTGCAAGATGCCTCATTGTGACTGATTTGGAATGAATGCACCATGAGCCACGGAGCACATATAGAGGCCGTGGACAGAACCTTAAAATGTCTTATAAGCTTCTCTGCTCTCATGGGGAAGTAAGAAGCTATAATAATATATAATTACAATATAAAATATAATTTATTTTCAAAAAAATTAGAAATCTTTAAGAAAATTGTTACCCAAAGTAGCAAAGTTTAGCCTATAAAATTAATTATGCTGCGCTGAGAAAACTTGATAATATCTACATAAAAATTATGTGCTACATGATTAAAGCACTAATTATTACCTGCAATAAAAGTCCGCTAAGGAATACCTACATCTAACTATCATATTTAAGTCACAATAGTAACTTTTGTGTTCTAAAATTTAATTAGTGTTCCAAAATTTAATTAGATCATCAGTCTAAAAAAAAGTCGGTTCCAGTCGTATCGTAGTACTAATTATTATTCAAATAAATAGTTTTATCATAATGAAAGAGTTAAGAAATAATTTGTACCTCTTTTTAAAGAGCATATTCTATTCTGTACTTTAGTTATACATATTTTGGCGATAAAGTTGGAAATGTTAATAAACCTAACCTTTGAGCAAAAAAATCGATTAAAGATAAAAAATGTGCATATTTTGTGGCAGATTGCACAAAAACTATAAATAATATCGCTTTTGTATGTATAAAAGGTTAATAGAAAATTCATCAGGGATCGATTCGTACCTTCATACTTGTGTACCGTGTACAGTTTACGTATAAAAAGTAGTCTTTAAAACTTGAAAAAAACCGCGTTTTGGGACACTTTCTGGGGCGCGGGGTGACGTTCATCGGGGAGGGGGAGTGAGAGTGGATAAAATTTAACTTTGCTCTATAACATACATATGTCGATAGATAAAGGAATAATACAAACTACATTACTTTTTCATTATATTACTACATTAATTTTTCCAATTTTTTAGCTAAAATGATTGAACTAAATGAACGAGGTGACATGTCATATCACGCGGCGCAGACACTTGATTTAATATCAAAGATTTAACTGCATAAATAAAATAAATAAATAATTATAATTGCATAAGTTGATAAAAAATGTTATGCAATAGCTTTACCGCGGCAGTCACCGAGTGCCACACGTATTTTTGAGTTTGTTTTTCTGTTTGTTCCGGCTAATCTCCAAAATTGCTGAACCAATTTTGTCAGGACTTTCACTGGCAGATAGCTGATGTTATAAGGAGTAACTTAGTCTATTGAAATAATACTAATTTTTACGGAATTTATCGCGTATATTTAACTTTTTTACCCGACGTTTCGAGAGCTTTACAGCACCCATGGTCACGGGAAGGACTGAGATGTTCAACGTCCAGCTGTCATAGTTAACCGCGGTTACCATAGATTAAAATTTAACTTTTGTTCCGATCTACACAGTATGAACTTATGGTATCATGGAGTCTTGCAGTTGTATGCTTGGGTTGGGATTTAATTTTATTTATTATAGGATCCCAAGCAGATGGTAGCACCCAGCCATCTTCTCTATTGAAATTAGGATGTTTTTTGATTTCAATAGCCTCGCGAATCATCCTTGGAAGGAATCGGTGTTCTTTAGCGAGGATTTGTGGTCTATCAAATCTGATGTAGTGACGGGGGCGATCCTGTACATGTTCACAGACTGCAGACTTGTGCTCTCGAAACGTCGGGTAAAAAAGTTAAATATACGCGATAAATTCCGTAAAAATTAGTATTATTTCAATGTGTGGTGTTCGCGTAAATATAAGAAATCATTAAGTAACTTAGTCTACTTTTATTTTAGATAAAGAATTGGGGTCTTGCGCAAGAACTTATATTCCATGAAGTTCAATGTTAATAAATTTTACGCAGACGAAGTCGCAGGGCTGAATACTACTACTGCAAGATTGCAACTTTAATTTTTGCTCCAATCAGCATGCAGCAAGCTCGTTTTGCACAGATTGGACCAAAAGTTAAAAAAAAGAGAGAGGGTTATGCTCAGAGTTTCTCTGCGTGATATAATTAGCAGTGAAGGCATCTACTACAACTTCTAAACCTTAGTATAAAGTGTCTTATACAATAAAGATGTAATAAATAAACCAACACGTCTTATATAAAACGCGTGTCGCGACCACGGTACCGCTACGGACGCTGGTATACTCGTATATCGCTCCACGAAATCCCGTTAGCGTAAATATAAATTGCGTGGGCAGTTTTACACGGCGATGCAAAAATACATTTCATTGAGTTCCTCAGGTGCTGTTTTGTGAAAGTTTTTAATCTTTGTAAAAGGCGTTCATGACCGAACAAATATGAACAAAAGACATTAAAGGTTTTTGTTTAAACTCACTTGAAATGTGTTTTACATTAACGTAAGTAAAATCCCTATTGTAAGAAAACTAAATTACAACACAATACTAAGTCAGTATTATTTAAAGTTACATTAATCATCACCATTATCATCATTACAAAGAGAGAACGAAGTCCTCTGCTGAACATCGGTCATTTGCTAAGAAAATGTCTACTAGGTTTTAAGACAACTATTTCTGCTGACTAATAGCAATACTTGCACTGCTGTGTCCCGGTCGAAAGGAAATGTAATTACAGGCCGGTAGGCATTCGATCGTCTTTCTCAGAGGCGACAATGAATCTTGGTCAGTAATAAGCCGCAACTCGCAAGTTAATATCGAGGCACAGTGATCTGCAACAATCAGAGGGCATCTCTTTGTGTTATCATGATATAAATATCTTCCCAAAAACTCTAAAAAATGACTACTCTAGAGCAGAGTTTCCCAATCTTTTTTTGTGTCGTAGACCTCTTGTCATGTTTTTCCGTGTTGGGTAGACCCCCTACTTACCTGATATTGATTTCCTGTAAATTTCTAACTGTAGTGAAGTTTAGTGTTAAAAACTTAAAGTAAAAACACATGTTAGTTTATACATTTATTAATTGAATTTAAATTAAAACTACTCAAAATAAAATTTTGTATCTGTTATGTAAAATGTACGTAGCATTAAATAAACATAAAATAAACTATAAATAAAATAACATAAGCAATAAGTCAATATTTTTAGTGAGAAGGATGAACATGATTCTTTAATAATAAATTATCAACATTTGGCGTCAATTTTGTAAGGGATAATCTTAGATCTCCTCGGTTAATGATGTCCAGTCTGTTTCTTTTTTTCGTTAGGAGATTGGTAACAGCGCTGAACCCCCTTTCCACAAGGTATGACGATGGAAAGGAAATTAAAAATTTCCTCGCTATATTCCATAATACGGGATAAGTAACGGGTATGTTGTTTTGCAGCCAGAATTGCTGATATCCGTTTTTAAACCGAACCTTAAGTTCTTCGTTTGTACTTAGTTCAGTCAGTTCCTCTTGTATTCTAACATTCGTTTCTTCTATGTCAGCATATGGATTAATTATCCACGGTGGTATTACCATAGTAAAAATATCCTCAAATCTAGATTCAAAATCTGAATAGAGGGCATTTAA